TGTAAAACACCTTTTACTGTTATTTAACTTAATAAAAGAAATAGCCTGAGAAAACAGCTAGTTCTTATTCTGTAACACAGAAATCCAAAGATGACTGTAATATCAAAAATCCGGGAAGTGCACATACTATATTAGAGGTGTGTCTCCTCTTGCTCTGATACAAGACAGACCAAACTGAAGAATGAACACATGAGAATCTTGTGAGGAAAATCAGAATTATTCATTATCACCCTCACCTAGCTCCAGCTTTCTCAGGTATGTTTGGGTGCAAGTTTAATTGCGATATTAAATCATGTGGGTCAGGTAGGCTAGGTTTGTAGCTCAGCATAATTTTAACAGCTACTGCATTCTTTTGGATCAGAGAAAAACATACAAATTGGTATCAGAATAAATCAGGTTAGCAATAAAGCAAATTAGTTTCTACAAGCATCTGTGACAAGCAAGACAAAACTAGGCAGCTAGCTTGGTCTGTTTATACATTTAACACTTTACAGAAGTGGGTATGAACGTAACTTTCAGTCAGAGACGAGCCAGAAAAAGTTTCCCATAGCCAGAATTAGGAAAAAAAAAAAAGAGACAGGACGTACAAAACTGACTCCTACTGCTGTGAGCGACTGAATTCCCAAAGCCAGGGCATTTAGAAAAGTATACGATGGATAGCATCCAAGAGCAATTGTCATTTTCAAAATCACTGTCCTTACTTAAAAGGCATAAAATACAATTAAGGATATCACAATAATAATTCAAAATACGAAGTATTTTCAGAGCATACATAGGAAAGCTGTCACCTCTGCCGACGAACCCAGGCAAAATGCAAAAACTGTGAAGTTGTTATAAATGGGGAGAAAGCTTTTGCATAGTGTCAGAGAGAAGGCCATTCAAAAAAAAAAAAGAAAAAAAAAGAAAAGAAAGGACACGCTTGTTTATCCATTTTTCATAAGGTTATGTTGGAAAAACTGACGTAAGATTATTTTTTTTCATTCCAAAGACAGAAAAAATACCATTACTTTTCTAGTACTATAGCCTGTGTGGCTTTTTACACAGTCACGCATCAACAAGCCATGAAATTCAGCGTATAAACACCCAATCAGTGCAGGAGAAAAACCAATCTCTCACCTTTCTGCCAGGGATCTTTTACAGAAGCCTGGTGCCTCTCGGTCTCAGATGTAGTACATTGGTGTACATAAAGTAACTTCTCCAAAATAACTTCATAATTGGGGCCATTTCAGTGCTTGCAGCACATGCAAATGCTTAATAAAATGAAGTTTTAAAGCATTCTTTAAACTTGTCTTGCAAATTTAAGTGTCTGAGACAAACTAATGATGTTTTAAACACTTAGCTTGACATGCAAGAGTTCAAATTGTGGAGTGTATACAGTAAGCAGTCCAAATTTGCAGACATTTGGTCCTGAAAATGCATATTTAGGCATCTAAAATTCAGCACACACAGAGATAAGGTGTGGTCAGTGATCACCAACTTCTTTCTGGGCTGAAATCTCCAGTGTATTTTTTGACATTTACAGCAATACCTCAGATCTTTGTGTACTTTCTTATAAAGTCTTCAATGTAGAAACGTGGAGCATTTAGTCTGTTCTAGAAACATCAGATATTCCTTTCGTCCTTTCCCAATTGTGGTTCTTGCTCATTCAAGGAGGCCAGGAAGAGTTAAGCACACAATTAAAATAAAATCACGTCAACCGAAGCGAAGAACTACTGAAATATCGAATCTCATCCAGCTGCCAGAGTCAGAGTTGTTCACATGGACATTTCTCCCATCACATAACGCCACAGTTAGTTTTAAGCCTTTAGGTCTACTGATACAGTGACAGAAAAATAATGTCACAGTCCCAAAGAAAGCAATGAAGGTCTGAAACTAAGCAAAATTATTCCATGTGCAGTGTGACCTTTTCTTTACCAAAGTACATAGAACCTTCCTCAATAAGCTGATTTTTTTAAAGCGTGCTGGTGGCTGGAGGTAGGGAGAGAGAAAAGCAAGAGCCATTGTCAAATTCCCTTTCTCCTGTCTCTTAAAAAGAAACAAAACCCCTGCCCATCCAATAAGAAAAGGAAATCTTTGACAGAGCAACCAGCTCATATGGTAACTAATACTGAAGTTAACTACCATTAGGACCCCCTAAACAAAGTGATGAGATGGAAGGGGAAAATGAGAACAGAGGAAAACTATACAAGAACTTGAACAGAAAAAATTATCTGCACATAAAGCAGCGAAGTAACAAAAAGTTAGATTGATTTAACCATCTCTTAAAGAAACACCACTAAAATCCATGCAAATCTAGACTTCAAGTTATACCAATATCAGTATATTCCTTGTCTGCAAAGTTGATTTCAGAAAACTTACGCAACTGATGAGACCTGAAGGTTTTGGGTAGAAAAAGGCAACTCAAGAAGCATGGGGAGGGGGAGGGAAATCTTAGAATGTTTCCCCCCCCGCCCCCCGCCATTGCAACAGCACTTTTTTAAAATTGGTGATAAGTAAAACTAAGATAAAAACCAAAACTGAACTCCTGCAAAATCCAGTCCAAGGAACTTTTCTCCTATAACATTCCTTCTGTGTTAGAAAAGGCAAAACCTACTTAAAACCAAGTAGAACAACCCCCCTTGCTTTCTCTTACACAGAACACGAATCTTACCGCTGAGATTTCTATGGTTCTCTTCAGTTGTCGTAACGTGAATGGAATTTGTTAATTGCCTAAATGACTTGGTGCAATTCCGTCCAATCTGTTCACCCTATGGACTCAAGTACTACGGCAAACGCCTGGATCTGAGACTCTCCTCAAAAGCTTGAAAGGGAAGAGAGGGGAGTGGAATGCACCAGGAGAAACCTTCCCGAGTACTCCAATCTTTCCACGCTTTGATAGGTATTACCCTAATGATCCCACACATTGACTGCTGGGGAATTAGCACAATTCTATTCAGCACATAGCTGTACATCAAACATAGCTGTACATCAACACATGGCCTTGCAAAGTATCAGTCTTCGCAGAACACAGCTGTAATGAGAGCAGTGAATACCTTATAGAACTTGCTGCAAAATAAATAGATATTGTACAGAAAGAGACACCCTCAAATTAAAATCAAGAAGACACTTAAAAGTTCGGGCATTCTTCATTACAGGAAAGAAGATTCCACGCCGAGGCCATTAGCCATCAGAAAAGCTCCATCTGTGTATAATTATTTCTGATAAATGATATTAAGCTTCATTAAAGAGGTAGTAGGGATGTGAGAGAAGACAGAGAGAGCTCAAGCTGTAAATAAATCTCTCCACTGTATTTCACTTAAAATCACCCCAGCAGGAAGTCATAAAGAATTTTTTTTATAGGTAACATTTTCAAATGCTCTGCAGGCTGTGCTGCCTAATATCCATCACCTCATGTTCACAAGCTTGCAGCAATTCAGGATGAAGGACACTATTTAATTTCCTTCCCATCCCCGTAATCACCCTCTCACTTACCCCCAAGTCCTTCTCAGCCACAATAGAAACACTTGGCTGTAATACAATTTAATTCCTAACTGGAAAAATTTTCACAAAACCTGACCCAGTAAGCACTGGAGAAGCACCCTGTAACACCAAAATAGTAGATCCTGGCTAATGAGCCAGCAAAAGTGCTGAAGCCCCCTGCCCTGCGAAGGCCCAAGCGTGTTGCTGAAGCGGAATGTTTCGCTGACTCCTCTGGGAAGGTGGGTTTAAGGCCTTGTTTTCACAGCACACTACAGGTTTCCCCTTAAGAGTTGCTGGACAGAGGGATGAGGCGATGGGTTGTCAGCAGCAACTGTGCATGCGAAGGAGAGACAAGGGTTATGTGGCAAGTTTGCTCTTATTACAAGAACTGGTGTTGGAACAGTCACCTTTGAACCCTGTTGTATTTCTGACAATATTCTCATATACAGCTAGAAAACAATAACTCAGAAAAAATTACTTTAGTTCGTCTGATAAACGACCACAGTCCCCAAACAACACTTTGTGCTTTGTCCACAGCCAACCTGCTTAGGTAAAAGGAACATACATGCGAAGCCTACCCACCTGTAAACAGAATAACTACTTCAGCCAAGCAGCAAAACCATCCCACGCAAATAGTTAACACAACTGAAAACAAGGGCAGCATATCAAAGGTTTTTTAGTCCTACTGCTTTGCCAGCGTTGTTATTTCCAGCAGTTGCCTCAGTGTTGAAGATGAGCTCTTGCAGATTTCCTGCTAAAAAATACGCATGTTTTCCTTGCAATGTTTACATCTATTTACCAGCCCCAACATAAAGTCAGCTCAAGAGGGATTCTCTCCATAGAGCACCTCCTAAAATAAAGCTACAGTTGCAGGGAAATGAAATAACAAATTGAGCTTAAGTTGTAGAATGCACATTTTGAAACTCAATGTATTAGACACAGGATGAACTCATATACAGGTTTAGAACAATTTAAAAGACAACTTTATCTCACTGTGTTTGCTCATTTTTAACGTCTTACCTTACCTTCAGGGAGAAATTTTGCCTGACAGAGTTCACTCAAGAAGAAAGATGGGTCATGAAAGAAGAGATGGATTACTACATGAAACTCAAGTTTTATGCAAGTAACCTAGCAGGAGTCTAGACAAACATGCATTACAGTCAGTGCTATATGCAATGCAAGAATTAAAAAGCAAAAGGTTTGAAAGTCAAATTTCACAAGATATTGGTGTTTATCCTAGAATATATATTAATTTACCAGTAATGTGAGAAGTTTCTCAAAATGAGAGTACCTCAAAATCATAATTAAATCGTACACTACCATCCAAACAGCTGTAAAGTTAGTTAGAAACTCCTGAGACCCCTTTTAATTTGTTCTTTGGTTAAAGCCATCAATGTCTATTTTGTTAATGACTTCTAGCCTTTCCCTTCGCCCCAAAAGACAGGCCATTTACTTCCAAAGGGAGTCAGTGAAACATAAGCCTGAGAACAAAGCAAAACGTTTATGCCTCCTCTGCTGCCACTTAGGGCTTGTGCACTTACATTCCTCTTTGCTCGGTGAAGTTACATTCAGTTCTGTCAAAAGTTGCTGGTTGGAGTTAGCGGCCTGCGTGGTTAGAGAGGTATTGCTGTTGTCACTGTTCGTTTCTCCAGAGAACAAATCTGACTGGCTGTTGCTTGTGCTGGGAGTAGAGTCATCGTCTGGCTGCTTCTTCTGGAAATCTATCAAAACCAAGATTTCATATGTCATCCCACTTGCTCAATCTAATAATCCAATTTTATGCAAAAAAAAAGCCCAGCATAACAAAAATCACCCCAAACCACTATCGTGATTCTGATTGTGTATCTCCTACAGCTCAAAGAGTAGCCTTCAAGTTTTCACTTCAGATTTAAAGTATCTTAAAAGTTATTTGTTGTTGAAGAAGAACAAACATTTTAAGAGCTCCATAAAGTTCTTGTTTCCCCAGCCATTCAAGAGCATCCAAAGCCTCCCACTGCGTGTATCGGTATACAGCATATGACATAATTTTAAAACCAGTTCACACAAAGCACACACAAAAGCACAAAGGAGCAAACATCTGATGAGGGAAAAACTAAGGCATGTAATACAAGTGTAAGGCAACGTTCAACTTCTCTAAAAACAGTACTTCTCACTGCTTTTATACAAAATCCCACCAGTAATGGTTTTGGCAGAGCTAGCGCAGACAGCTATGGTTCCAGGTTAGCAAGTGGGAGCTGCTGAGGGATTGCCTTTGCATCACTTGTTTGAGGGGGGGTTTGGGGGGAGGGTCCTCCTTCCTCGTTCCTTCACTTACTCCAACATCGGTATTAAAAATTGCTCACGGATCTATGGCCACAGAGCTAGATATTTCCTTGTTGGCCAGCAAGTGCCAAGTGACAGCGAGGCTCCAAGCTGCCCCCACAGTCTTTGATAAATGCCATCCTCAGGCTTACCTCGCCTCCAAAGCAGAGGCAGGTTTGAGGGGAAATACTCTTTTAAGTGCAAATCCTCCCTTGAGGGCTTTTTCCCCAACCCACAATCCTGACACCTGATCGATGACAGCATTAGTCTCCGTTCCTTCCAGACACACTACTGGTTTCCACTCCGGCACAGGTCTGCCACTGGATGCCCCTGGGGAACACCCCTCCCAGCCAAGTGGGTTTTGGGTTGCCTAACATCCAGTTACTCTCCCAATGCAACGGCATCTCTTCCTTGTAAAGAGACACATGACGTGCATCACCTCTTGGTACTCCTAAACACTTCTTTTTTTAAAAAAATTACATACAAAGGCAGAATTTATTCATTACGCAAACACGTACATAAATCAGTATTTGGTTGCCCATTATCATGTCATGGCAGAGAGGAAAACAGAGCAGTTCCTAACGGTTTGTGGATGATGACGTGTTAGAAACACGGGTCGCCAACATGACTCACTGGGACTGGGAAGCACTACAGCCAAACAGTCCCTAAACGCTGATTAGGATCTCAGTGATTTGCCAGAGAAATTAAGCTGTAACTTCTGCTATGGAAGAGTCAGCCAGAACTCCGGCTTGGAGAGGAACGAGCTCAAAGCCAGGGAGGAGGAGGAGGAAGGAGGTGGCAGGAAATCACCCACCTCCAAAACACGGCTCTGAAAAACAGGCGGGATGCTTTTTGTCAGGGAGGAGTTACTGGACCCAGGAAGATGTCCTACTCCGGCATCACTAGTTATCAACAAAGTTTCACCCAAGTTTGGCTCCTGGATATTATTAGTGTGTTTGTGGGACTGAGAAAGCTTCAAGCACTTGGGGCTCTGCACCAGCCACCGTCAGACAGTTGCAGCCATCAGATCTGGAGCCACCGCCCCAGAAGACACCAACTCTTCGTGCCTCTACTGAGGCCACAGTCCTGACAGAAGGAGGGCTCACAGCTGGAGATGTGGTGAGAACCACTGGTCTACAACTCACCAGTACAGAAAACAGATGGAAGTCTCACATGGTGCCTGCAAATATAAGGGGGCTACAAAGATTGTAAGTGTTTAACGCAGACTGCACAGAACTAAAGCTGTGCTGTGTGCACGTATCAGAAGCAGGAGCTCCCACCTTCAAGGAGCAGAGCAAAAATAATGGTAAAGTTCTATATTATACACCATGAGCAAGCTATAACATGCATTACAAAAGGAAGCAGAGTTACAGAACAGCAATAGATACTACGAAATACATTCAACTTCAGCGAGTTAAAAATTCTCAGCCGGTGTTTTGGTTTTTTTTTGCTAGATAGCTGCAAATACTTTACTGAGGCTGCACCAGCTCAATGTCATCCACAAAAGGCACTTACAGAGAAAGGTAAAACATTTTTGCAAAACGGTCTATATAATAAAAGTCCTGGCAGCCCTTTAATGATAGCATGGTAAGTACTAGAGCTATATTGGGTCTCCCAAAGCTGCAAGTTTAAGAGCACATTGACCAAGGTGGTTTTTTGGTGGTTGTTTTTGTTTTTGTTTTTTTTTTCCTGAAAAGCTATTCACTTTTGCAACCTATTGATAAATTCTCCAACTTCAAAGAGGGCATAAAAGGCTGTCAAAAGCGATCACTCAGCGGCAGCATCTCCCAACAAGCTAACTCGTGAAACAGTCGAGAGCTGTCACACAGCAGCAGAAGCCACCACGGCAGTTCAACGCCCTTTGCCTTCAGGAATCCAAGGCTTCGTGATCAGAACTAACTTTTACTCAGACTGCAAATCAATTAACTTTCAAAAAAGTCTTAGCCTGCTTAGTTGTCTGGAACCTGAGAGCATCTCCTGTCTCCCCTTTTTAACCGCTTTTTCGCTGCAGATGAGTACTTGAGGAAAGTGTCGAGGCTGCAGATCTCAAGCGCCCCGGACAGACTGACTGTAGCTGAAGCTCTCCTCGCGCTACAGCAAATTATCAACAGTTGCCTCAGTAACGTGGTGTCAACAGCACCACAGGACCTATCAGTAACACAGTTTATATAATAAATTTGACCTAAATTATCAACAGATTTCTGAAATACTGCTTTATATGATTTGTGGTCCAGTATTTACCAGTACAAATACAAATCTAATGACAGAGTGGATGGGCTGTATTATGTGTGTATCAGTGGATGGTATTTAGCTTCTGTTAACCAGGACTCTCGTTAACACGACTAACTTGCAGATCACCTTTTTCTCCCCCCAAGCACAATAAAAGCTGGCAACAATCACAAGAGATCTGTGTCTGAATAAATCCAGCTAAGCCTTAACTGCTTAACAAATAAAACAAAACAAAAATGCACACACAATGCAAGCAAGACCCTGGCAAGTTTGAAAGGGAAGCTTTATTCTGATTAAAATCAGAATGTAATTCTGTTGACAGAACAATGACCTCTCCGAACAATCTCAGCAAGGAAAAAACAGAACAAGAGTTGGCAAGACATTAATAATCATTTCCAGAAGTTTCTATTTAACCAGAGATGCACGCAAAACACTGTCATTTAAGTTAATTTTTTTCTTCGTTTTTACTGAGACTTTCACTATGCTAGCAAAATCCGTGCCAAAATGCACGATGACTGATCAAAAATCAGTCAAATCCACGTTCCTCTTTCCTAGTTACTGAAATGCAACTTTGTCACTTCAATGGGTACACTTGTTTAGTGGAAACAAACCTCCTCCCTTGTCAGAAAATATGTTTTCTTTTTCTTCTCAGCATTGTCTCCTATTCTCCACTGCCTTCAGGTTTGCGTTCTTTTTGTCAGCTGCAGCGGCTGTTTCGTGGGGGGTTTTTTGTTGTGTTTTGTTTGTTTGTTTTTTGGTTTGGTTTGGTTTTTTGTTTGGTTGGTTGGGGTTTTTTGTTTTGGTTTTGGGTTTTTTTTTTTAATTTTTATTTTATTTTATTTTTAAGTGCAAGTTATCCTGGTGTTACTTACAAGGTGGATCCAGCACCAAAATAAGAGATGAAAATTAGCCATTTCCTGCATGGGGGAGTAACAGAAGGAAAGATCTAGCAATAAAACTCATGAAACGCCTCCAATAAACTACTACCGCACGGCAGAGAAGCTGCTAGAGCAAGCACCAACACTGCCTGTCTCCGGGGTCCAAAATCCTTCTGCTTTGTTGAGTTTGAGGGTTGCACCCAGCCTACCACCTAGCTGAGCAGGAGCAGAAAAATCTCAGGCAGGGCTCTCACGCACTGGATGTTAACAGTAAGAGTGTTGGGTTTGTCTTGTTACTTAGGATTTCTCTGGAAACAAAACAGCACCTACCTGCATATATAGACATGATACAACCATTTCATATTCTATATATGCAATGAATTCAAGTAGTTTAGACCAAACGAAAGGCAAGAAGTCAGATTTGTCTCCAGACTTCAGGAGACAAGTTCTTTTGCAAGACACCTTTTGTCCATTTGTTTTCATAAGATAACACTGACAATGAAAGCTGTTACTTTTACAGCTCCTGATCCTAACCCACAAAACCAGGGGTGCCACATGAAATCACGCCTTCTGCACAGGACTAAAACTCCCTCGTACCTTTGTCCAGTTACTGCTACCAGGTTAGGGTGAGCAACCAGAAAGAGCCCATCTTCTCAATACGTTCATTTCACCCAGCATCTCAAGATCAAACTAACAAATGTTTAGAACATCTAACCTCTTCCATCACCTAAAACATTCCTAGACTCTGTGGCACCAAAAATCAGACAGCCCCAAGCCCAGTATTTAGTTTACTTTACTCATCAATATCTAACAAAATACCTAAGGAAATACTGAGTCCTCAACTTCTGCTTGACTGTAAGGGGTCTGCAACTATGCGGGGAACACCCCTGCTGCTTCTGGCAAGTAGCTCCTGTGATTACCATCAGTTGAATCTTGAGGTAAAGGCGAATATAACCAACATTTTATTCTAAAAAAGACTGGCATGTCAAAATATTACATTAAACCACTTAGTATTAAGCCAGAGCTTCTTCTCATTTGCACTCATACTATGGTATAAGAAATCATAAAATTTATGAAACTCCCTCAGGGTCTTAAACTTTTAGCTTATTTTAAGGGTTAAGGTTACAAATACTTCCTGTTCTCTGGTCTATAACAGATGTTTTCATTAATAAGAAATGGGTTCCTTCAAACAAATTACGGATACTGCAAGAAGCATCAAGAGTAAACAGCATGCTAAGAGGAGAAAATTAGTCTTCAAAACAATTATTTTGGTTGATAGGCAATATTACACCACTCCTGTATTCTTCAGTCCTATAGCTCCCATAACTTAGCAGCGTGAAC